TGTGTGTTGGTGAGTGTGTGTTAGTGGTGTGTGTTGGTGGTGTGTGTTGGTGGTGTGTGTGTTAGTGGTGTGTGTTGGTGGTGAGTGTTGGTGGTGTGTGTTGGTGGTGTGTGTGTTGGTGAGTGTGTGTTGGTGGTGTGTGTGAGGGTACTGGGAGTGGGAGGCCTGATGTCTGTCATCTCCATCACAAAGTGGGTCAGGCTCTGGTGCTGATTGGCTGGTGGCGGGCTGACCTGACCCCGGCGGCCCACTGCAGGCTGTGTCCGGTGTGAGTGTGTCCGGTGTGAGTGTGAGTGTGTGTGAGTGTGTGTGAGTGTGCGTCAGACTGTCAGAGCCGCTCAGCCTCACTTCGGCCGCCGCCGACACGCCGCTGACCGCTGCACTCAGCCCGCGTCCGCTTTAAGCTGGATTTATCTTCAAACGGGGGTCAGCGGGGGAGCAGGTCTAGATGCATGCAGGATTTCTGTCACAGATTTGAACCATTAACGGTCAAATCCTGCACCGGACCAAAGCCGGCGCGTTTCCATTCTTCCAGCTGTTGCAGAGATGCTGTGCTTAACTTCCTGTTATCTAACCCGCTATTTACAGATGAATATATGTGAGGAAAGGAGGGGTGTTAAAGGATGAACATGTCAGATCTTCCTCTGTGGCTGTCAGCTGTCAGTAGAATTGAGCGGATGAACCTCTCGATTTTTTTCTTTTCCCTCCTCCAACAAGAAAAAATCTTGTGTGTATTTTTAAAGAACACAGAGTTTGTAAGATGTGTCTGTAATCAGCATTGGAATAGAAAGCATCAAAGTTCCAGCTCTTCTCTTTTTTGTTTTTATTATTGATAATTTTGCATCTGATCTGGTCTTTACATTACACTCTTTAGTGGGCCGATGACTAAAGTATTATCAGTATTCCACTGCTCACAGGCCAGTCTAAAGTCTAATATTAGCCCGCCCGTCATCCACTGGTAGGATTGTAAACTGGTGTTCTATTAGGGAGGTTATTGACATTATCTGTATTCTCTCTACCTCCTCTGTCGGGCAGAAAGGAAACTTTCAAAACTTGCACTCAGAAGGATATCATCGTCTGAATTAAGGATATTTGTTTAGGAAGAGGAAGAAACAGAGGTTGTGCAGTTTTAAAGACGAGGAACCTGTGCATGGATTGAAAAAATGAGATGTTGACGTTGGTTTGAGGGCAGTGGCTCCATTGCACATCTTCAGTGTGGTGTAGGCTGAATTAAATCTTCAGATTTTTCTTGTTCCTATAGATAGTTTACAGATATCAGTTATTCTCTGGTAAATTTGCTGCACTGGTGCTGAATGTGAAACCATCTTTATTGGTTCACGTCGATAAACTCTGATCCACCACCCCACTTCATTTTCCAGCAAACCACCCCTACGATGTGCCTCCGTTTGCTGTGGACTGGGATTTACAGCTCGCTTACTTTAAAAGTGAAAAGTGACTGAGATTTTTCTCACTGTTTGGGGGTAATGCAGGAACTGATGTGTGTTCTGCCCGTTAACGATGGAGCTCTGTGCTCGCCAAAGGACGCATTTCATCACCTGAATGGGTGTTTTCTGTTTCTGAAACATGTCAAAACCGATAGCGTACAGTTATGTAGGGTTTATTTTCAGAGTTTCTCGCATGCATTTATTTTTTGATCATTTTCTAAGAGCACATCAAACGATGTTCTTGAAACTTTTTATTCTCTTTGTAGTCTGAAAGTGAATATGCCAAAAAATAACAAGATACTGTTCTACTTCTTTCAATGCTGTTTTTTTTTTTTTTTAAACCTACTTTGATGCCTTCTGGTCTGTACTTTATCCCGACTTTTCTTTGCAAGCAGAAATCCCAAAGGTTGTGCGAGTATGTTTTTATGTGAAACAGGCAAACGATGGTGTGTCCACACAGTGGCCATCTCCTCTCCTGTGTTGCTGTGCAGCTGTTGTTCACCGCCACGTTCTCTTTTCCCTCACCAGAGCACCACTCTGATCCTGTGGGTGCCTCTGATTGTCACGTGTGTGGTTCAGTTGGTGTTTTCTGCCCGTTGCCTGGCTGCCTGCGTGTCATTTCTGGGCCTGCCTTGCTGCCCCATGAAGAAGAGGCTGGGCCACTACGCCAAAGCGGTGAGTCTTAACTGTAAATGCTCCTTGTTTTTATCTCACAATTGAACCCCTGGATGGGGAGACGGTATGTTTGATTATTTTTATTGGAGCAGTATTTTCAGGAATTGAGAAAAATGCTGAAATGCTGGTTTGTGCTGGTGCAGATTACTGTGGTGAGGCCTGCGATAGAGGCTCCTCGTGCTCGTTACACGGAACCTCCCAGAAGCCACAAGAAACCCGACAGAAGAGACACGGAACCTCTGAGAATCTACAACGAAAATGCAAGACTTGAGACTGAGCCTCCGAGGAGGACCAGTAAAGCTCCCAGACGGGCCTCGGCCCCCCCCAGACACCAGCACAGACCTCCTTCTCCTCCACAGCATCTCTCCCGCCAGCATCAAAGCCTTCCTCCCTCTGACCGGCAGCCTCTTCGTCAGCCACACAGAGAACACCCGGACAGGGAGAGGCTGGACAGGAGGACGGGCGGTCAGCACCGGGCACCAGAGCAGCACCAGCTGCTGCAGAGAGGAGCCCTGGAGAGGTCCAGCTTCTGGATTTAACCAAATCCAACAGGGCAGATCCTCCTGAAGGGGTCGTGGTCCTGTGAGGGTTTATGCTTTTACTCAGTCGGAAGCTGTGGCCTCTAAAACCGGACAGGTCTGATCTGGGAAACCTCGGGTAGGAACTGTCCGCTCAGTGTTCGGGACGCCAGCTGTGCAGTTGGTCGTTCTAGCTTTTATTTTCTACTGCGAAGGACTGAATAACCACATGAGGAGATAAACTTGAGATAAATCGTTTACAGTGCAAGCTTTTAATGGACGAATGGAAGCATTGTGTCTTATGATGTTTGTTTTTTTATTTTTAAACTAGGAATTGAAATGCTTTATGCTAATTTGTGTTGTGCTAAGTGGGCCATTAAACTCTTTATTTGCAGAAAACCTAAAGCGGTGATCCGAAGTTAATGTTATTTTAAGTTTATACTGAATATGTTGCTTATGTTGAGTTTAGCGAGATAGAGAAGTAGCTCATGGTAAACCTGATGATAGATGGACTGGTTACCACTAAAGACAGAGTTTAATTATTATCTTTATTTTCTTGACTCAAAAAAAAAAGAAAAAAGTTTCCTCTTGGGCACGATACCACTGTGGCATCATTGCTATGCCTCAGGTATTTTTGAAAGGCTAAGCCAACTGTTTACTTCTTGGGTCTCACATTTAGTGTAAAGCCATCCGTTTTTAAACCCTTTCCAACAACAATGCTGCAACCTGAGTTTTGAAACAATTTTTGAGTGCATTTCTGCTTATATATGAGACGCAATTAAAAGTGGCCCCCAAATATTAAAATATTTGGGGGTTTTCGGCTTTATAACCCGAAGACGGAGTCTCCGCTGCAGTTTAAGAATCAAGTGTTTTTTTCCCTCTTGGAACGAGAGGTACCCGCTCAACAAGTTTCCATATTTATTTCTGGTGTAAATGTTTTTATTCAAGTGATCCCCTGTCCTGACCCTACTGTCTGGACTGTGCTGACCACATTTGAGGGCAGCACCAGCGACCTAACAGGGATGACCGTTCACGCTGAGGTCACTGCGGACAGTTAGTTCCAGACTTCTGACAGGTGTGTGTTAATAACGGCCAAAATCCACCCGGACATGCTGTGAATGAGGAATAGAAACATTCTGCTGAAACACCATCAGAAAGGAGGACACGGCTGACACGGGCTGCTCTGAAACACACAGGTATATTTTCATATCCGGTCCAATAGAACAAACATGGCACCCTCCATTGAGGTTCTCATGCAACAGAAAAACAGAAAGGGAAAGGGGGATCAGAAGAAAAAGAAAAGAAAAAGGAGCCTATATATCCAACACAAGATATCAGTTCATCAAGAGGCAGTGAGAATAGAAAAGGATTCAAACGGAGTGGGATCAGGGAAAAGCGAGTGTTGTTTCTCATCCTACCAGCAGAGGGCAGTGACACTCAACAGTCCCCGGAGCTGCAGCTGGGCAGGAAGCACTGGTCCAGATGTTTGATACCAGTCACCTCTGGACCGATGGTCCGGTCAGGTCAACGGCACCAAGACGGTGTTACACACACACACTAGTTCTGCACTCTGAACGAAATCATTCAGTGTGTGAGGTAAGGTTTCTAATGTAAGATTTGTGGTACAAGTTTTTGGGAGATAATTTGGTGATTTTTTAATTTTATTCCACCATCCCGTTTCTGTTTGACAAATATGCTTAAGACTGAATTTGAAAGCGCGTTTTATTGGCGTCCTTTGGCGTCTTATTGGAGTTTTCTGTCGGTGATCTGATCAGGACATTCAGAGTGAGGCGTGTGACAGACCAGTGGCCTGTGCTTTGGCCCCTGGCTCTGCGGTCAGTCGTTTCTCAGAGAGTTTGGACCTCACTGCTACGATGGCGACGGGATCGAGTTGTACGAAGGTTTAGCATCACCGTTTGTTCCAAATTGAAATCGTCCCACTTTTGTCCCCACCAGCGTACTCAACGTGTCTGAACATCCTACAAGAACTAAGAGTAATAATTCAAAACGGCCGGAACTCAAACCCCTGCCAGTGTCTGAACGTTCTGCTGTCCGGTGAAACGCATCCCTTCATCTCACTGCTCTGCAGCAGACCAATCCAGGAGTCGGGGAAAAGCTTTTGGCTACGGTGTGATGAACAAGCCCTTAGTGAGTTCTTGGTTGGGGGGGGTGGGGGTAGAAGAGAGGACAGCGTCGCCCCCCCGCAGCTCTAGAGATATGGGGGGGTTTGGATCATGCAGTATAGTGAAGGGTCACGGCTAGCTTCTGCTCACTGCTCGATGTTCAAGAGTTTAAGATACTTATGAGTTAAGAAACGAACACAAGGTGGTAATACTGTAGAAGGTAGCTTAAAGCACACCGTGCACGTTCGCATGCACGCACGCACACATCTTGACCAAAACGCACGGCCGTACTTTTAAAAACACGTGGCGGCTAAAACGATATGTGCTACTGGTGTCGTTGATCAGACGCAACACGGGGGGGGGGGCTCAAACGAATAGAAAAAAATCCCACTTTCCTCTCTCCCGGCTGTTGTAAACAGGAGCCCAGTCCTCTCCAACCACATGTCAAAGCTTAATATCCAGAACAAAAATAAATAAAACATGACAGAGGAAACAACGGTATGTACAAGTGAAGAAAAAAAAATCCAATAACTTAGAAAACAAAAACAAACGACATGCCAGTAGGTATCTATAAAAACCTAATGGGATCTTAGGCCTTCTTTTTCTCAGTGAAAGATCATGTAGCATTAAAATCCCCCCCCACCCCTTTAGCTAACCCAACTCCGCCCATCCGGACAAGGAAGCAACGCTACATAATACTGCCTTTAAATGCCAGAGAGTGTTTGCCACACGGTAAATAAAGACAAATGTACTTCATGTCATGATATGCACAGACATACAATATATACATGATATACAGGTGAACGGGACCACCCCCCCAAAAAATAAAATAAAATAAAATACAGCCACACTTTGACATTCCAGATTAAGATGGGGATGTTGGGGGGGGGGGGGCTCTTCGGACCCACCACAGAACGCAGAAATGTCCAAACCTTTTCTCAAAAATAAAAAAGCAAAATGACGATGACTTTTTTTCTTCTTTTTTGCTCATTTTCTTCCTAAAACCCTCAACATGACGACAATCAAATATTTGACATGAGATACGTGAACCTTCATGCATTGATTTAAATGACTTAAAAACAAAAATCAAACAAAATAAAGAAACACACAAAAGGGGGTGGGGGGGGAAGCAGGGCTGCTCAGAACTGGGAGGCTGAGCTGGGGTCACACTGGAGTAGCCGAACGATGGAGGGGTCGCTTTTGGCACCTTTGATAAACTCCTCCAGAGATAATTTGCCTGCAGAACAGATGAATTAGAGAAAAGAAGACAGAACGGCATTATTCAGCTGGAGTCTGGCAGCTTAACAATATTCATTAGATACAGAATTAATAAAAAAAAAACAGTATAAAAGGAGCTAGTTTGTTTGGAGTTTGGTCAGTCGCTGACTGACCAAGTTGTTCTGTAGTTGCCTTGTAACAACTACAACTAAGAAAAAATACATTTCTCTGCAAAGGTCTCAGCAAACTTTTCCCATTCTGCCCTGTCCTGGTCTCACCGTCATTATTGAGGTCCATTTGTCTGAAGATCTTATCCGTCCTCTTCTCTGGCGTGGATTCATCTTCTGGCATCTTCATCACAGACGACACCATTTTGTAGATGGCCTGAGAGACAGATCGAGAGAGGAGGAGGAGGAGGAGGAGGAGGAGGAGAGAGACGGTGTGGGTGGTGGCAGGAGCAGAGACAGATAAGTGAATGTGAGGCAGCAGGGAGCCATTAAGGAGAGCCCAAACACAGCTGAGCTGAGAGATGCTGGGAAATCCCCCCCCCAAAAACCCCATTAAGGTCCCCTCTGAAGCCTGAACAGGATCTGGGGCTAATGGTAGTTCTATAAAGCCACCACCGTACAGAGATGTGACTTATGTGTGCTAGCGGGGGCTGTGTGGGTTTGAGGTTTATGAGCGGAACTTACAGTATCGATTTGATATATCTTTATCTGTTGACTGATACGATCCCCCCCCCCCCCCAGGTGGCTTTAAATTAACCTCGGTGAGAGTGCGCCGAAAAGCTCCAAGCATCAGCTAACCCGGGTTACGGATCTAAATTCAGCCTACGTGCCCATTAAACGTCCTCCTCTGGGAGCGTACGTAGTTAAACCCCGCTGCCGGTCGATGGAACAGCAGCGTTCTGGAGAGGAGGAGCAGTCGTAAAAGAAAAAAAGGAAGAGGAGCGCCCTCTTTCAGCTCCTGCCTATTAAGGCGTAGAAGTCATTTTGTCCTTAGCAGGTCTTAAAATGAGGGCGATACAAACTGAAGAAATCAAAATAACAATAGATGTTTTAAATGTCGTTTAGAGAAAAAAAAGGAGGCTGAAATACAGAAGCAGGGAGTGGAAAGCAAAGTGAAACCTGTTTCCTGAGTGACTAGTCTCACTCTAGTCATCATCTTGACTCTTTAGTTGGAGGTCTGCGGCTGTGTTTGGGATCATGTGACACAGTTTCAGCCAGATGGCTTCACATTTGCCTGCATAATTCTTTGTATACAGCAGGGTTCCTGTGGACCAAACCACCAGCCCTCCACTACCGTGCTTGCCAGTTGGTTTGAGGTGTTTGCGGTAATACATTGGGTTTTTTTTCCCCTATGTGCTGCTGAGTATTCAACCAAACATCTCCACTGTGGTCTCTGTTCCAGAAGCCGTGTGGTTTGTTCAGATTTGTTTCCGAGGCCCTGAGGCTCTGGATAAACCTCCTTATTCATGCAAAGCTGAATGTGTCATCACAAAGGGCGGACTGCTTGTTTCTGACCCTTCGGCCCACTCGATGAGCCCCACTGGACTGTCTTTATGAGGCTGGTCCTATCGTAGAGGCTGATGGCAGGAGACTGGTTCTGGGGCAGCTGCAGCTCGGTGGGAAGCCGCCCGTCGGGTTGTGAGGCCCTCTTGTTTAGATCATTGTTGAACACAAAGAAGATTCCAAAAACCCTCAACGGTTTTTGTGAACCCGAACCCCTGAACCTCTAGGTAGTTTTGCACTGGTATTGTTCTGCATTACGGTTCTACTTTAGAGGCGGCTCCTCTCAGTGTATTCCAGTTTAGTTTTCCTTATCAAAGTAGTTCTTAAAATATTAAGAAAAGATTATTTAAAGATTTGATGCTGTGTAGATCTGAGTTGTACCTTCAGCCCGACCTTCCTTAGCAACCTAGCCCCACGTGGAAAACTTTAGTTGCTTCCCTTTAAACCCTAGGTCAGTGGGCCTTCCAAACAAGCCAGACTTGCTTAGTAAGTTTCCAAATGAACTGTAATGAACATGTAACCTGCTGGCTGAGGACTGTAGAGTCCAACTTGTTTGGAAACAGTTGCTTTACTGACTAAATAGAAAAATCTGGTCAGGAGTACACATTAGAATATTGTCCTGAAATGTGAAACAATTAAAGTAAAAAGAAAAAGCACTCCTGATTTGAGTTAATATCTAACTATGTACCCGGACAAAATGTTAATAATCAAGTTACTTTCCTCTATTTTACTGCACATTGAAAAACTGCTGGATGGTTTTGGTCGGCTTCTTTAATCTGTGAAAGTTATTTTTTCCTTTTCCAAATCAGTGCCATCACGTTTCCACCTCCAAATGTTGCCTGCCGGGAGTCTGCCCTTCATTCCAACTGTGTCAGGGTTTCTGCTACATGTGTTTGATCATGGCGCACCACCATCACAAAATAAAAAACGCCACACCTTCAGAATAATGTTTTTTTGTTTAGTAACCGCAATTTATAAAAAAAAACCTTAGAGGAAACCCTGTTTTTGGTCACAGATCAGATGCTTGTTAACTGGAGTCACTAACACTGGGGTTAGGTTAATACATAAAAATGAAATCAGTCAAACAACATTTATAGAAAACAACTGAGGAGTTCTGGAGACAAACCCAATTTCTTTAAATCCTGATTCTAGAATATCTGGTTACTGTACAACTAATCAAATATCAATAATCCAACCAAATGAAGACATTTGGTTTAGTTGCATTGTATTTTTTTAAATATGTACACATAAGGGGCTTTATCTGACCAATGCTTTTGGAAGAATTGTGTCAGACGTTCAGCATTGGTTGAGTTAAGACATAAAGGAGAGCTCAGGGATGGAGTGAACGATCCAGATTTAATTGTAGTTTCTGAGTGAGCGGGTAATAACAAGCTTGTTCCAGTGATTGTGGTTTGAGCAATACAAACCTCCTTTATGAGGTTATAAATATGACTTTAATGATGACTTTTCCAGATTTAATGAATCCTTCTATAATATTTAAGTTGTCATTTCCAAACAAATGAACAGTTATCCCCCCAATAACGGGGGGAAAAGTAGCCTTACGTGTCCAATGAGGTGAGAAACAAATCAGACATCTGACAGCCTCCTCTCTCAGTCTAACAATTACACATGGATGCCCTCCACACTTGTCTCTTTATTGTAACCTCTCTGAGCTCGGGGATAATCCCTGCATTCTGCACACTCAGGGATCAACTCTGGTTAAATTTAACTTGCTAATCCGTGAGAACCATACAAACCCACAGACATACTCGCACAACATAGCCCTCCTTGCTGTAATTTGACATTACAAGTAGTTTTAAGTGTAGTTTTACGTTAGATCGCACCGACAAGTTGGTGAAACTAAACACACCACTCCTGCTTTCAATTGGTCGGACTTCAGTATATCAGTACTAATCTGGGTAAAATTTCCCATTTACACATTGACGCAACTCTGTAAAAAAGAAAAAAAAAGACTGGTAATTTGGGATTTCTTTCTTGGCACAAATCGATCCCCAACTGCTATATTTGGTATAAGCAACGTTACATCTGTCCTCAAAGAGGTAGCTAAAGTAGTACACTTGCCCATCACAAGGTAATGACTGATGGCTTTACAGCACATTACAACACAGTGAGTCCCAGTACTAACATGTACTCTGAAAATACATGAAAAAATTGTCGTCTAAATGAAATCATACCAGCTCGAAATTTCTCTTTGAGTTACTTTTACATTTACATGCTCAATTAGACCCAAACTGTCCAAAGTTTTCCATGCATGTCATGCAGTTTGAAGTTTGAACGTAATCGAAAAAGGCGAAAAGAATAAAGCCCAGTTCAATCGCATAAATGGATTTACAGCATACAGCTAGTAGTCTTGTGGAAAACAGGGGATTTTCCGCTTTTAGTCCCAAAGAGGGTTAGGGTTAGGGTTAGGGTTAGAAAACTATTAAGCCAATAAACGGCACAATGGCACCTGTTCTCCATGTCTATAAAAACTCCTTCTCTGTGACACCAAATGTTTGTGTTTGCAAAAGGGGTGGGTGTAATGTTAAAGACAATGTAGAGCTCATTGTTGTGTATGAACTGAATGTGCAGTTCAGTTTGAACTACTAAGTTCTTCCCACGCACCAGAGGGAAGATTTCTCATCAAAAAACATTTGCTTCTATCAAAAGGGATGATTTCCATCACCGTATTTCGAGTTAAGAAACACAAAAAGAGCAGTTCACTACACTTGACTTACCTTTTACAGTTAGAGTGTCTGTTAAAAGAGTCTTTTCCTGACTCTTACCCATACCTCTGTACCTCCTCCTCTTGAGAATAAATTGTCATATTGCTGACAACTGTAAAATTGTGTCTACTTTGTGAGTCGCTTTGGATAAAAGCGTCTGCAAAATGCATAAACATAAACATAACATAAAAGTCAGTGTGAGCATAAAAGAAATCGCATCTATTAAGTGGTGAACCTGCTTTTTTCCCCTTACGCTTTGTTGTGGCATTATATCAGTGTGTCATTCAGTTAGTGTTGGGCAGACAGATAAAACCCATCTGTACGTAGATAGTGTCAGTGTTGATAAAGCTGTCCAGCGCTCACCTGCACGATTTCCAGCATCTCGTCGCGGCTGATGTAGCCGTTTCCGTCCAGGTCGTACATGCTGAAGGCCCATTTCAGCTTCTGCTCCAGCTTGCCCCGCGACGTCACGCTCAGCGCGATGATGAACTCCCGGAAGTCTATTGTCCCGTCGCCGTTGGTGTCGAAGGTCCGGAAGACGTGCTCGGCGAACTTGGAGGCGTCGCCGTACGGGAAGAAGTTGGCGTAGATCTTCTTGAACTCCTCCACATTCAGCGTGCCACTGGGGCAGTCCTTCAGGAAGCCCTGAAACAGACGCACCAGACACCAGCCCCTGTGAGTACAGCTGAACTGGTGGAACAAAAGAAGGCGATATCGGTGGGTCCCAGTCTTCGTTAGCCCACGTTTGGTTTGGACGTTCTGGACCGACGCTGGGTTCCACGCCATGCCATGTTCCAGTGCAAACGCCAATAAAAACACGGAGCCAAGAATAGTTTGTCTGTTGACTCATTCAATTCAATTCAACCCATTAGAGCACTGACCCATGTTTCCCTAAAGAGAAATTATTGGGAATAGAAATTAACCCAATGAATCACTTAAAAAAAAAATCCAGATACCACCATGTAAAGATCTGGGATTTCCAGAAGTTCCATTGTCCATTTTTAATAAATGTCTTTTGGTTAAAATAAGTTGTTACACATGTGTCACTGTGGGTTCTCTTTGAGGGAACTTTTTAAATTCAATTAGCAATCAGTGTCAAATTACATAAAAAATTACCCTCAAAGAACGAGAGGAACCCAGAGTCCTCGGCTCATGCCGAAGGCTGGAATTACGTTTTGAACGACATAAGATATTACAAGCGAGGGCTGAGGTTCCACACAACTGTGCTCTTAATAAAACCTCTCTATTACCGGTGTCTGTGACATTTTCTGGGCTGTGAGAGCAGCATTACAGCGTTTAGCTACGCTTCCCGACTCAAAGCTGGGATTTATAGTCAATAAATCCCCCTCCCCCCAAAAAAAGACAAGCTGGATAAATTCTCAGAGACCCCACCTTCCTGATCATCCTTCAAAACACATGAGGCACCAACAGCTGGTAATCTGGGGAGAGCAGTGGGCCCCTGAGGAGACCTGGAGTCAGAGGTCAGGAGTGTGGGCTGGACAGCTGACCGTCTAATCCGTACAGCTGTCAGATGCACACTGCGGAGGTCTGGCGTGATTAAACTTCACGAGGAGGCTTTGCAGTGTGGAGTAGACATCTGTAAACCGCTTCTCCTCTAATGTTCTTTTTTTTATTGCTATGCGGGGCGTGCTAAATCATCTCTTGCTTGTTGGTGATGCTGCCACTGAGCCCCGGCCCCCAATATCCTCTCTGAATCTGATTAGAAACCCGGGCGGAAAAAAAAGAATTTATGAAGGGTTAATAAGGGAAACTAACTGTGCCTGAAAAATAAGATAATTGATGCAGTCAGGTCAGGCTGGTACTCCATCATGGATGTAATCCAGTGGACAACAGGCTGGGTCTGCCTCTGACAGAGACAAACCACTCAAGGCTAGTGGCAGATTACTGATGGAGCATGTATCCTCAGAACCAGCAAGGCCACCCTGATGGATGAATTTTAGTGCCCGAGATATTATTTATGATATCACTTATTACAAGGCAGGATATTTACCCCGCTTCATAAAAGTTTGTAGCCGATTCCTACATGTTGATTTGTGTGCTTAAACACAGCTTCGTAAAACTTGTTTTACCATACTAAATCAAAAAGACACTTTTCAAATATCAAATATCAAATTCAAAAAAAAATGTTCACCTGATCTATAAATTCTTTGAGTAGTGAAATGAACACAGTTGGCCATGACTTGTATGAACATGCAAGATGCAGCTAATTACAAAGCTAGTTCTGGACAGCCATATTGATTTCACATCAAGGATGCATCTCATACAGTCTGTGATAAATTCAAGCTAACATGACTTGGAAATAGCAGGCACGCCCACCGGTTAGACATAGAATGTTATACATTTATGTTTTAAAAATAGCCCTTTTCTGCCAACTGAGGCAGACAAACATGGCTAATTATCAAGCTAACATTGGTTAATTAGCTTCAGCCTCATCACCTCACAAACCAATAAAGGGGAAACATTTCAGATACATTTATTATTTTTACTGAAGTACTTTATAGCTGCCACCCTTTATTCAAATGTTTAATCATTGTTTGAAGCTTCCAATAACTGTGAAATATCTTAAAAATAGCAAGCTAGATTGATGGAGGCTTTGCAGACTGCTATACTGTGACATGGCATGAGTGTGCGTCTTCATGGAGGTGAATATATTCACATTCTCTCTTTACTCAGAGAAGCATGGAATATGGCATTATTGATTTATTATTTTTCTGAGCCATAATGATCCTAGTCCTAGTGCTGGCCTTTGCGTTTTAAAATCATGTACTGCAGTCTTATAAATACCACGTTTGATTCAGCATTTTATGTATCAATTCACTGATATTTGACATCTTATGTAAAATTTTAAAAAAGACTTTAGCAGGAAAGAAAAGATTTCATGACTACAATAATGATACACAGTAAAAAAACTGTAGGCATCACCTTCACCAGCTCGTGTATGTGCCGGTACTAAAAAGAGGAATAAAATCTGCGTGGTCATTGGGCCAGCTTTGGTCTCGGCGTGTGGATTGTGGGGGTGCAGCGTGTACCTTGTACCACTCCTGCAGCTCGTGGTCGGAGAACTCGGTGTTCTCCCGCAGGTCCTGCAGCATCTCCGGCCGCAGCTTGCTGTTCTGTTTCCCCATGGCCGCCGGACGGGTTTTCAGCTTCCTTGACGATGACGGCGTGCGGAGGACTAGCCAGGCCCGCTTTTCACACCTGTCAGTCAGAGAGACGGACAAAGGAGGTCAGAAACAGCTCTGGAAACGGGGAGAAGATGAAATATGAGAGACACTATGCTGCTGTACACCAGGAATGAGCAACAACCGATAAGAAAGCTGAGCAGATTAGAAAGGAGGCTCCCTTATACGTGGCTAAATAGGACTTATAAAAACCCAAACATAATAAATTAGCAGCTCATGCATCCCAACATTTTCATGACATTATCTCTTAAAAACAAAGCAGGCTTTTGCAGAGAGACAAAATGTCCAAACACAACACACTGACAAACAGACAAAGTGACTCCACAGATCGCCACGTTTGAACAAAATCAATGGCAGCCTTTTCACAGGATTCCATCCCGTCCTCATGACACAAGATATTATGCAAGTCTGCAGGTCCTGAAGTGCTGTATTACAGGAATAAAACATAATCCTGAACGCACCCCAGTGACGTCAAGCTCAAGCCCACTGATCCCATTTGGAGGAGATTTATCTGGCCAGCTGTGTGTTTTTGCCTTAAATCAGCTGTTTGGTGTGCGTGTGTGTTTGTGTGTTCCCTCGTTTAATCTGTGTCTCAGCACAACCTGTCAGACAAAATGCGATTTTAATGATTCAATTATGCAATGAAGCATTCACAATCAGAGAGAACACTTTCCTTTTTAATCTGATTAATCCGATTCACTTCCCTATTACCTATCATGTATTTAAACCATTAGCATTTGTCAGGAGATGAGGCAGTTATTGTGCTATCCTTAGTAGTAATAAACACAGAAAAAAAGTTTAAAACAATATGATAAAAACTTGAAAAAAAATGAATTTACAGTGTAACTTGGGGCCTAATTGGCTCCGAACTCTTTCAGAAAATAAAATGCATTAAAAAAAAAACTTGAAGTTGTTAACTTCCCCAATTAGTGGGAACAGCCATTTAAAGTTTGTGCTCCTGTGTGTGTTGTTGTGTTTTGGTTGTCTTAATTACAGCGGTGTGGCGGTTCCTGTACACACTCCGGTGAGGCTCCCTGACCTCCAGTGTCTCCTCGGGCTTATTAAACTAACGGAGTTGCATAAGTCTGTGCAGCCGGGTGACAAAAGAAACCCAACAAACGGCTCTGCTCGTGAGAAAGTGTGTGCGTGACGCGCATTAGGTGCAGAGTGTGGACACTCGGGTGTCGGCTATTGCTTCACGACCAGGAAAAAATTACAGAAAAAATGACAGAAATAAAGCCCACACACCCGTCCGCCTCCCTGCTCGGCTAATAAAATTAGCCTCATATTAAATCGCTCATCCCAAGGCATTAAGAATAAACGCTGGTAAACTGCCCGCGGCCAATCTACAGGCCGCTGAGCGGCGAGAATCGTGATTCCTTGCGTTCTCTCTGGGATTGGTGGGAGTTATGGAGATGCGGGTCATCTGCCAGCTGGCGTCAGAAAGCCGCCTGGACTCACATTGTGTCTGCGTGCGTGGTCCCATCTCCTGGACCTCCTTCCAGAGCCGGGTCATAGTTAAGCATCACTCTATAAATCATTGTAATTTTACATTTACGGTCTCATCTAGAGTCTGAAGACTCAGAGTGTCGGTTGTTTGATGTTTCCGCCGTTGAGCTTTATGTAATACGCTTTTCAGCGTATTACATAAATGGAATTACACATAACTTCTTACTTTCTCTCGTTCTTTGAGGGTAATTTTTTATGTAATTTGACACTGATTGCTAATTGAATTTAAAAAGTTCCCTCAAAGGGAACCCACAGTGACACAGGTGTAACAGCCTCTTTTAACAAAAAGACATTTATTCAAAATGGACAATGGAACTTCTGGAAATCCCAGATCTTTTACATGTTATGGTGGTATCTGGATTTTAAAAAAAAGTGATACATTGGGTTAATTTCTATTCCCAATAATTTCTCTTTAGGGAAACATGGGTCAGTGCTCTAATGGGTTGAATTGAATTGAATGAGTCGACAGATAAACTATTCATGGCTCCGTGTTTTTATTGGCGTTTGCACTGGAACATGGCGTGGCGTGGAAAAGATTTGAGCATAGGGTTTTTTGGTGTTACTGAAATGGGAAATCATCTGTCATTCTGGTGTTGAAAACAGGTGAGCGAACATAGAAAGAAGTCTCATTCAACAAACCATCATGTATCCAAAGGAAGAGACGGATACAGAGAAAAAAATCATTCCAACCGATATTCTATCCTCTTTAAACCTCATAAAACATCACCCATTGCAGGCGTTCTGGTGCAAAGCGTGTAAACGGACAGACTGACTCTGCATTTTCTGCACTTCTGCGCTAGTTTTTTTCACCCGGAGCGTCTCCTGATCCTGGAATAACTGAAACAGCTTCTGAAGTCAAACCAAAAGAAGCCAGGGGCCACCATCTATTGGAGACTGCAAATCTGTGAGCCGTTCCTCCTCTCTAAAGGTTCTGGGGAGGATTAGTCTGCTTTCACCAGCAGGACCCAGGCAGCTGAGCACATGAAAATTCCCTCGTTTGTCTAACTTCTCTTGGGTCCCTGAATGCTGCGTATTTTCTGAAACTATGTATTTTGTTTTATTGTTATCTCCGTGCTTTCCCGCACGTGCATTGGACAGAGGGTAATTCTAATTATTCATCATCCATCTCTCACTTCTTCAGCAGAGCTGTTTGAATCAAATGCCATCTTAACAGGCACACCTCTGCATCATTTTTTTCTATGTATCTGCTTTAGATTTTAGGCCAGCCCTTCAGTCTTTGGTTTTAATGCAGAATTTGCTATCATTTGGACCTCAGAGTACTAGACACAAGACACTAGGAAAATAATAAGACTGTGACACACACAGACAAAAATGTGGCGCTTATAAGTTCATTTTTAAACGTAAGTCACCCAAAAGCAAGGTCATAAAAGTTGCTTTATTTGCTCAGGAAAAAAAATTGTATGGAGGAGTAATTTCCGAGGTCTGTCAACATTTCTCTTGGAAGTGCAGGCTGCTTTACATCATTAAACCACATGTTTAATGAAGCTAAACTGAAGCTTTGTTGTAAAAAAAAGTGTGAATGACCTTTATAGCACTTTATTTAATGGCACTGTACATAACAACATAAGAAACAACCAAGTAAATGGGCCCAAAGATAAGCTCTAAGTATCATCTGTGCTCTTGCGGTTGCTGGACCACATAACCAGCAAAATGCTTGTTCATTTCCATCAGGGCTTTAGCTGAGTTGACAGCTAGCTGTTGCTAGTCAGCAAGTCAGGGGTTCCCTTCTTCCTCTCTCGGGTCGACAGTAATGAAATCCTTATTTTCCAGAAGCTAGCGACAGATTACTTGAGTTGAATGAAAGAACAAAATGTCGACCCCGGCTGTTACAAGACTTGCTTATTAAAATTTGAGCTTTGGAGAGCGCAAAGAATCATCACCGTATTCTTGTGTTGGTAACTGAAACAGGGGCGGGAGAGTGGGCCCTGTCTCTTGATATGGAATCCGATAAAGGATGACTCTGATTCACCTCATCAAGTGAGCTGCGTCAGTCCCGCGTTTCCACCACAAACCTGCCATTCGTGTTCCTACCACGCAGGCCCAGGGGACAGACCTCTGCCCTACACACACACACACACACACACACCTTTATCTATTACCTGTGTCCACTAATAATCGCTTTCCACGCTTATTTGCGAGCATGAGCACAAACAGAAGCCAGCGAGTCGATCTGTGCTGGCCTTTTAAATGATGAGCTTTAATTGAAGCAACGGCGTCTCGTTTACTTCAGAAGCTAATGTTTTTCCACGAAAACGCCTCAGGCTCGGCCATCAGCTGGGTCCAGATCCAATCGCCACACTCAGATTTGGAGGAGTAGCTCTTCACTTGGAAGCCTTCTGGCTCCAGGTTCCGGTTCTATCCTTCCCTTGACTCCTGTTTTAAGTCCTCTCTACGGTCCAGCCAGGTAACGTGGTCGTCCGTCAAACCAAAGGGAAGTCTTTTCTCAACTGTACAGGCATCCTTAAGTGGGACCGCCACTTCTATCACCAATTGCCAGAGACTCTGGATTCAAGTTTCTGCTATTAAATACAAACTAACATATTTCTATTGTTTGCCCTTTTCTTAACACAGCCAGTCCAACGCAATATGTCCCTAACCTGCAAGCTCTTACTTCACTTAGTTGCCCTCACTGGTCATGTGATCTTGTGTCTGTGCATGGAGAGTAGCCCAAAAACTAAACCTTCGGAACTCTCTCCCCTTTAAAAAAAACTAAAAAATCTTTTTTTATACCAACTGGGACCAATATGACGGCTTTGAGTCAGAGAGTAACACCATTATGTACATTCTAGTCCACCAATCGCACTGCCTTTAATCCAGGCGTGACCTAAACCCATAAACCCTTTTTCCCAATCCCTCTGAAAAGTTTCTTCCCCCTATTTCATCCAGCCACATAAAGAATTGATCAGTGTGTCCCAGAGTGCCCTCTGTTAGTTGTTGTTGCTCAGCTGCATTGCAAGTACACACACACGCTCTATGAACATCTGTTCCCGTGTTCCAGAGCCACTAAGTGGGTCATCAACCTTTGGACCGATGATTCTTGAAATGAGGAGTACAAGCAAGACTGGACGATTTAAAGGCAGAAAATGAACCATGCGCTTTTATTTTCATGGCTTCTGTGTCGTCAAAGAGCTGGTAAAAACGTTGATAAAGCACCTAGTGTAGTGAGGGCATTCCATACTACTGTATGTCAAAATGGGAAATTCAGCCATTTGCTAATCACAAGTTTTAGTTCATTCAATGATGAACCTCGCAGCTCCAGGTTTGGGTTTGAGCTTTTAGATCAACTCACCAAAGAGCTGTTTCTAGAAACTGACTCCTCCAGACAGAGATCTCTGATGCATGTAGCGGAGCTTCTCACATTTATTCACTTGGAGTTGGCCTTGCTGGGAACTAATATGTTTATCAAGATTGCATTCTTTAGGAGTTTGCTGACCACCAAGGTGTCCGGTGGGTTACTCTGGATCTGGAAGTCACTCTTACTTAACC